GGACATCCTGGGTTACACAGTGAGTTCCATGTTAACCAGATCTATATAGTGAACCTCTTTCAAGAATTAACAAAAAACAAATCAATAAACAAACAATACAGTTTCTGAGCCCCTTCCTGGGAATTGTAATCCATAGATGGAAGCAGACTCCCTGTCCCCTTACCATCACTGGTTTCTTTGACAATTTTGTGAAATGGTGCTTTATATATGGTTTATGTTAAATAACCTTCACAATAAGCCCCCCCCAAGGGTCGTGCGGGGGGAGGGGGGTGGCACCAAGCATAAGGACCTGAGTTGAATCCCTGGGACCTACATGGTGGAAGAAGAGAATCAACTTCTGCAAGCTGGCTCGCACACACACACACACACACACACACACACACACACACACACACACACAAGTAAATGCATTGAAAGAAAATAAAATAGAAAAGAAAATCTTCTAAAGCAGGAGCCATTATCTTTTCTATTTTCCAGGTGAGGAAAACAGTTGGCAAACAAAGGAGTAGCTGGCACTAGCCAGAGCTGCCTGCCCCAAGTGAGGTGGCAGTCACCATACTGGAACTAAGGGGTGGGGGGTGTGGCTGGAGCTCAGCTCTTCATGGCAAGATGACTACCTTCACACTGGGTGAGAGGTTGACTGGGAGGTGAGCCACGGAGAGGAAGCATAAGGCCTGAAGATTACTGTGATGACTCTAGGGTCTCTGGGTTTGAGCAGTCATTCTTTGGGCCCTGGGAGACAAAAAACGTGACACAGAGTTTGTGTTCTAGGCTCTGGATGGTAGAGATATACAGAGTCCTGAAAGCCAGGGCTTGGCAGGTCACCATGGATCATCAAGGAGCACCCAAAGATTTTCCTCAGCTGCTTTCAGGGCTGGATAGGGTCCCTGGAACTGATGACAAGAACATGAGCAATGTTGTGTGGTGATTGTTTTATAGGCATTTAGCACATTACCACGGCCATTGCTTCAATAATGGGGGGATGCCTTCAGAAGAGACAATTGGGTCAGGTGGGGATCCATGTCATGTGGGCAGTAAAAGTTAGTGGCTCTTCATGTTATATTCACAGACTGGTAAGACCTTGACACTTAGGTGACATAACTAGGTTTTTCAATGTGTCTAGACCTCCTTAAATTCCCTGAGAAAGGATGCTGAAGTGCATTGTTCAGCCCAGGGGGTGAGAACCAGTAAAGGCCATCATTTTGAACATAGAAATTTTGAACTTGTCTTTTCCCACTTTCACTCACTGTTCCTCGGTTTCCCCATCTTTCCCAATTTTAGCTCAGCTTTATTTCTGACACAGGTGAAGATCTGTAGATCCTCACTTTCTCTTCTTCACTCATCTCATTTATTGCTCAGGAAGTAGGTGGGATGACAACTCAGAGTGTTTTGTAGGTACTGCAGTGCCTAAGTACTCATGCATGAACACGTGTGTGCACACATGCACCCTTGCATATACACACACTTATTTTATTTCATCCTTGCCTTGCCTTTGTGAAGATAAGGAAAAGAACACTTCATTCTTGAGAGTCTAATTCTTTAGAACTTGCATATAGCTGACACTAGTCATTTACAGCAAAATGAGTACCAACCAAGAAGTTGCAAACTAAGATTTTGAGAATTCCTAGCCTACCTCCAGTGCCATTGAAAGTGACCAAGGAGCATCACTGGAAGGATTGTAATTACGGAGCAAAAAAGCATACACACACACACACACACACACACACACACACACACACACGGGGGCGGTGGGGGGGAGGAAGAAAGAGAGAGAGACAGACAGACAGACAGAGAGAAGGGGAGATTTAGTTATACAGTCCCAGGATGTCCTCAATTTCTAGATGTTCCTGCTTCTGTCCCTGGAATCTGTGATTACAGGCATGTACCACCTGTGCCCAGACAACTGCTTTCTTTCTATTCTTTGGCAGGGAGAAAAGAAGGCATGTGGTTGGTCTAGTAGAATGGCAAAGTAATGACAAAGAACTTGGCAGTACCAAAACATCGAAGAGAATGGAGGGGATTAACATAGATGGTTGCTTTCCCACGGCAAGAACTGGATGGTGAGGGCTGAAAGACACCTTAGACCGGAGATCATGGCGGAGACCAACCAAGCAAGTCACAGGCTCATTGCAGCCTTAAGAAGTAAGGCTTTCAGCTAGGCGGTGGTGGCACACGCCTTTAATCCCAGTAGAGGCAGGTGGATCTCTGTGATTTCAAGGCCAACCTGGCCTACAGAGCAAGTTCCAGGACAGCCTCCAAAGCTACAGAGAAACCCTGTCTGGAAAAACAAACAAAAAGAAGTAAGGCTTCAGCCAGTTGGTGGTGACACACATCTCTAATCCTAACACTTGGAAGGCAGACCTAGGTGGATTTTTGTCCTCAAGACCAGCCTGGTCTACAGAGAAAGTTCCAGGACACACAGGGCTACACAGAGAAACCAAAAATAAAGTTCTCTTTCATAGGGTGGGAGGAGCCAGGCCATAGGATAGAAACATTTCCAGAGCCAATGTTACAATGTGGTCTAGCTCTGGCCTTCTGAATTTTATGTTCTGATTCCTCCGCTCTGGGAAGTGGATCATCAGTGTGCCAAAAAAGCCAGGTTCTGGAATTCCCCAGACCATGAGACTTGAGACTATGGTGACTTGACAAGGAGAGATCTCTCAGGGGAGCCACTTGGTCTTCCATCTCTGGGGCATGAACATACCTTCATATCAGAGAGTGTGGTTCCTTACATTTTTGCAGTGAAAACAGTTCAGAGATTAATAACACGTAGTGAAACCCATTCGGGCAAAATCCTCTTTTTTTTCTGTTCCCAAAGCCCATGTGTTTTCTACTCCCTGATTCACCTAGAGATTTGCCGTCTGGTTTTCTTCCTTCCTTTTAACCCCATCCTAGTTGGTCCTAGCAATGACAAGTGGGCAGTGTACCCCAGGGAAATCCTATTCTGGACCTGGGTTGTCAATGACATCTTAGGTGTCATCGAGCTTTGACTTTTGTCACCTTCAGGGGCTTACCTCACCCTAAGGCCCAGGACCTGTAGCTATCTGTCTCTGGGGTCCCAACTGCATCCCCAAGACTGCAGATCCCCTCTACTATTCAGGTGTTTTACAAGGTAGGCCTTGTTGCATTAGAAGGAGGTGAGAAGCTAAATTGCCACTGTCCCATAGGCTCACTCTCACTCAGGGGAGAGCACTACCTGAATAGCCTGAGTCAGGACTCTGAAGGCCCCTTGGAAACAGTGGCCTGGTCCCAGAAACATAAACTCCAAAGTCAGCCTGAGCTTTTCTGAGCAAGACTGTGTGACCCGAGCCTTTTCTGTCACTATCCCATTTCCACCTCCAAGTCCCTGTATGTCAGGAAAAGAGAGTAACTTGGAGATCATCTTGAAAGTGGTGGGGTAGGGGCAGAACCCACATTTACCTGTTGCTTTCTCCAATCTGGCACGGAAGTCCCTGGAGAGTTGGGGGGCGGGGAGGTACCAATACAGGAGTTGCATGCTGCTTCTAGACAATGCAAGCTTGCTAACCACCTGATGGGCCTGGGAACAAACTTGGAAGACAAGCCCTTCATGTTACTGTCCCTGTCCCATGGGCTCCAGACACTGCTGAAGGATCATTACAGAGGCTACCACCCCAGACCAACCAAGACAATTCCTTTTCCCCAGCTCTCCCTCTCATCTATTTCAAGGTGCTGGACGACTTGATTTCTAGATCATTTTCTAGCTCATAATATATTCCCTCAATTATGAGTTTTGATCTCAGCTTGCTCCCCTTTTCTCTCTTCTTTCTTCCCTTTCCTCTTTCCTTCTTTCCTTTCTTTCTTTTTCTTGACAGTCTCCTGTAGCCCAGGATGCCCTGGAATTGACATTGAAATTCTCACCCTCCCCTCCACCTGATTGCTGGGATTACAGGCCTGCATGTACTACCATGCCTGGTTTATGCAGTGCTGGGATTAAACCCGGTATCTCGTGCATGCTAGGCAAGTATTCTACTACTCAAGCTACATCCCTAACCTCTCCCTGTCTTTTATATGATCAGCAGGCACATAAGTGACTAAGCTTTGCTGTGATTTTATTCATATAGTTTCCTAGCCCAGAGTCGTGCCTGACACATGGTAAGGATGTGGAGAAAATTCTGTTGTGAGCATGAAAGGATAAATGAATAGCTATTCAAGAGACTCATGGGGCCCTTGTCCTGTTTCCCTGCTTTTGTTTTTTGTTTGTTTTGCTTTTTGTTATTTTGAGGCAGGGTTTTCTTCGTATCCCTGGCTGTCCTGGAACTCCGTAAACCAGGCAGACCCTGAACTCTACTTGCCTCTGCCTCCCGGAGTGCCTGGGCTAAAGGCCTATGCCACCACCACTCAGCCTGTTAAGTTTTTTGAGATAGGGTCTCACTCTGCAGCTTAGGTTGGCCAGGAACTCAGGATCCTCCTGCCTTTTCCCCTTGGTCTTCAAGTGGTCATTATTCTGTTTCTGATGCCATCAGCCAGGACAAAGGAGGCAGCTCTAACACAATTGTCTTATGCTTAAGGGAAGTCCATTGTGTGGAAACTTATAGGGATAATAAACTGTGATGGTGGTTCTTTTAAATAGACATCTGTGAAGAAAGATAAGCAAGACCTCACCATAAAGGTCCATAATCATGGGCAGGGCCCAGGGAAAACTGTTGAGAATGCAAACAAAAGCTATAACAAAAGACAGAAATTCTTAGTCATCATTATGCATTTAAAACCCCCAGCTAATAAATACTTTATTTGAGCATCTTTGTATATTTCTTTTTTTGTGGAGATTATAGTGCACCTATGTTTTTGAATCTTGCTTTTATGCTGTCGAATATGAACCTTTTTCCACACTGTCACAAACCCTTTATAGGTTTTAATGGTTGAATAATACTCCATTTTATGGATATACCACGAATCATCGACCACTTCCCCAATACTGATCATTTATTCTCCAGTATCTCCCCTATTATAACTAAGTAATACCAACAGGCAGCCTTTTGTGCATTAAACTTTTCCCATATTTTATTTGCATAATTTTTATTAAACAAAATAAGATTCTGTATTACACATTCATACTTCTCCAAATCCGGTTTTCAAAAAACTCCTAAGGGCGCAGTCCTATCTATTCTTTAATTTTCCTGTTGGTGATCTCACACCTCCATTGCAATGGTCCATGCCTCAAAGGCAGCATCTTCTCACACGGCAAAAGTGGATAATGCTGCCACTTCTAGGAAGCTGAGAATGTCCTGCCCACATGGAAGTTCTTGGTATTATTTGGACTGGGTTGCTGGGAACAAAATGACAGCTGAGACCTGCCATCACAGCAACTTGGTGGCAGCACACCCACATCCTGGTCTTTGGTCGGGTCTCGGCCAGAGCCTTAAGGGATCTCTGTATCCATAGTATAAATCTGAATGAGATCAGACACAATATTGTCAATGATTGGCTTGGTAAGGTCGTCACTAAACACTTGCCACCAAGGCTTCTCGGCCTCACCCTCTGCAGGCACCTCGACTCCATAGACCTGTAGGGCCAGGTAGAGCACAGCCACGGCTAGGTGCTGAGCCTGGAAGCGCAGGCACAGTCCCCCATGGTAGCTATCTCGAAGCAGGGCCCAGGCTGTAACAGAGATGGGGGTTCTCTGCCAGCTGTAACGATTCAGCCAGTTCTTGAGAGAAATCAAATAGTGCAGCAGGTACTTGTGTGGGTGCTGGAAAGAGACCTGGAAGCGCAGAACTCGCAGCATAAGAAGCTCACATTGCACAATGCTGTCTCGCAGCTCCCAGAAACGGGAATCCAGCTCCAACGGCTCGCTGCCCGGGTTGAAGTACCTGTGTGTCAAGTTGATGATGTCACGAGTACGCAAGTGTTGTTCCTCCACTTTGCCGGCCAAGTAAATGGAAGACATGGCGACCAGGTAGAGGTCATAAGCGTCCAGGTTGATCTCGCAGAAGAACTTATGGTAAATGGTGCACGCGGTGGCGATGGGAATGGACTGCATGCCTAGCTTGACGCCTGCCTCCATGATAAACCGGGTTACTCGGAAGTG